GTTAGAGGCTATTTCGATATCATGTTTCCTCATGATAGAAGTGCCAGTTACAAAAGTAGAACCTGTTACCATATGAGAGGAAACTGAATCAAAACCGCTACTGTTCCTCACCATGCGGGCAAAGAGACCTCGAATTACTAGCCTCCACAGACAAGAATGGGAATGGGTTTAGGGGCGTTGGAATCTCATCTAGTCCCTCCAACATTTTCACCACAATGCTCATCAAAGGCCTTGATTCGGGCTTATACTGAATGCACCAGAGAGCTATCTTAGCCATCCTCTCTGTCATCCCTCTATCCTTCTCCTCAATCCCACATGCTCTTTAAGAAAATGCTCTGCATCAATTGTTTGTTGTGGCTATGGAGGTGATCAAGTGCCTTTTCTTCTCTTAATTAATTTATTTAAATCTTTGTTAAGTTACTGAGAATGAATGAGTGTTGATTTGGAGTAGTTTCAAGTGATGATGATGAAAAGGGATGGATTCGAGTGAAATAAAGATTGTGGTGGATTGGAGAAGAAGCTCTAACAAGAACAGATCTTATATGGTGTAAAATTTTGCAAATTAAACAAGATATTGATTGAAATTTTAGCCAAAGGAAAAAGGACTTAGGCCTCGTTTGGGAACAGGCTAATTTAGTAATTTTTTGGCTATTTGGCTAAAAAGGTAGGTAAAAAAAACTTGTATGTTTGAGATGACTTTTTGGCTAATTACGAAAAGATGTGCAAAAAGTAGAGAGAAAAGAAAATCTTTGACTTTTTGATATGGGTTGTTGGCTTTTTGATTCTTCAAAGTTTTGAAACTTCGTGGTCCTAAACCCAGTTCTTTCATGAATCCTAAAACCCTTTCAATTGAATACGTAGAAATAATTAGGGTATACTATAAGAAAAAAATATATATTTTATTTTAGAATTTAATATGCATTGTCTTTATTAATAAATTTATATTAAGATATAATAAGAATTAAAATTTCAAAAGTTTAGTTGAACATACTGAGTTACCGTTTGGGTGCAAAATAGAATCACTCCAACTTGTCTCCACAGTCTAGCTTCCAGGTTGTAGCCCATTACCTAAGTCTGTCTTGGTAATTCAAAGCGTTCAACATATAAGGCTAGGTAAATTACACTTTGCACTCTTACATTTTGCACCAAATTTTATTTCGACCCCTACACATAAAATCACGACAGTCAATTTCTTATACTTCTGGTCAAATCTTACTTTAGTTCCTACACATTAAATCATGATAGTCAATCCCCTGTACTTTTGGTCAAATCTCACTTTGGTCCCTACATAAATATTAATATTCCCCTTCTGTTAACCCATTGTTTAAATCTTTAATAGAATCTAATCATATAGCAACAAAATACAGATTGCGAACTAGGGTTTTGCATAAATTGGAATCACGAAATTCTATTTTGCACAGTAACACAGTCTTTTGTCTATTCCTCTTCGATTTCTCTACTATCTTTTTTTATTTCAAAATTTTCATTTTCTTGCCTCTTTGTCTCAATTTTCAACTATGAACATATATATATATATATATTGATGGAAAATATAGATGATTTTCTTATTCTTGTCACATAACTATATTCTATTAAATATTTAAACAATGAAGTAATAGAAGGAGAACAATGACACTTGTATAAGAATCAAAGTGAGATTTGACCAAAAGTATAAGGGGTTGACTGTCATGATTTTATGTGTAGGGATCAAAATGGGATTTGTGTAGGGATGCATAAGATTATGATTTTGTGTAAGAATCAAAATGAAATTTGATGCAAAGTGTAGGGGTACAAGGTATAATTTAGCCTACTAGACTTATTAAGCAATCATTCCTTCAAAAAAATAAAGTTAATCATATATTGATAGTCCATGATTGGTTGAACACAAATTACAATCACAAACAAGTTTTTCAAAATCTATAAATGGAAATGAAGCCTTAACTGGGCTCCCAAAAAAAATTAGAATGAAAGGTATGGGCAATGGAAAGAAGCATGAAGGGAGTATTAGGGATAGATGTAGGATTTCCAGAGTTAAAGTAGAAAAGTAGGGATTAGGGGCCATTGAGATAGCATTGGGATATTATAATGGGAAGAGCACTCTCTAAACATTACAAGGATCCAAAAAAAGCTTCTCTATCAATGGATCATCTTAGAACTAATTTATCCTAATGCTTCAATCAAAAAACTTGGTATTAATATCTAACCAATACTCTTAACCAATGTAGAAACATAGAAGAAAAGCTATGAGTTGTGTCTGATGTGATAAGTTGAAACGCTTGAGTGAAAAAAAAAAATGTATATAGGATACACAGAAAGAGATTCTTCAAACTACTAGCTAGTTAGAGGCTATTTCGATATCATGTTTCCTCATGATAGAAGTGCCAGTTACAAAAGTAGAACCTGTTACCATATGAGAGGAAACTGAATTAAAATCACTACTGTTCCTCACCATGCGGGCAAATAGACCTCGAATTACCAGCCTCCACTGACAAGAATGGGAATGGGTTTAGGGGCGTTGGAATCTCATCTAGTCCCTCCAACATTTTCACCACAATGCTCGTCAAAGGCCTTGATTCAGGCTTATACTGAATGCACCAGAGAGCTATCTTAGCCATCCTCTCTGTCATCCCTCTATCCTTCTCCTCAATTCCACATGCTATCATCAACTCCCTCATTCTTGTTTCTTATTTTTACTCCATACCCACTTAGGAAACCACTCTTGGCTCTCCGGAAGATTGACATCAAGGTTCTTTCTCCTTCCTATGATTTCAAACAGAAGCATCCCGAAGCTATAAACATCGCATTTGTGAGTAATCGGTAAGGGCATCCATAGCTCAGGTACTGCATAACCAGGAGTTCCCCTTCCTCTAGTCATTGTTATGTGAGTTTTATCCCTATTACAAAGCTTGGCTAACCCGAAATCAGCTACTTTGGGAGAGAATTTCATATCCAACAAGATGTTTTCTGGTTTTATGTCATAGTGGATTATACGCTGCCGGCACTCTTCATGCAAGTAAGCAATACCTTTAGCTGTCCCAACCACGATCTCATGAAGCTTTTCAAATCCTAAGAGTTTATTGTCATTGAATAAGTACTTGTCAAGGGAGCCGTTCCCCATGTACTCGTAAACAAGAGCTCTCAGATATTTCTCAAAGCAAAACCCATGAAGCCGAACTAGATTGAAGTGATGTGTTCTCCCAATGGTACTCGCCTTTGCTATGAACTATTCCTCTATTTTTTTATCAGAGGTCCCATTTAGAACCTTCACTGCCACCATTGTTTCATTACTAAAAATCCCCTTATATACTGATCCAAAACCGCTTGAACCAAGCAAAGTGTTGAAATTATTGGTTGCAATCCTAAGTTGCTGAGAGGTAAACTTGTTTGGCTTTGCCCTGTCCATGTCATCGAGGAATTTGACCATAGATAGTGGCAGGAATTGAGGCTCTAGACTAATAGTTCTACTTCTTAGTTGAGCTATTATCCTATGCACTTCTGCTACGATGACGATCATTGCATAGACAAATACTACAACTAAATCATAAACATATTTATATATATTAACATTTCAAGTCACATTGAGAAATAAAGATTGTGGTGGATTGTGAAGAAGCTCTAACATGAATAGATCTTATATGGCGTAAAATTTTGCAAATTAAACAAGACATTGATTGAAATTTTAGCCAAAGGAAAAAGGACTTACCTGTTCTTCAAAGTTTTGAAATTTTGTGATCCTAAACCCAGTTCTTTCATGAATCCTAAAACCCTTTCAATTGAATACGTAGAAATAATTAGGGTATACTATAAGAAAAAAAATAATATTTTATTTTAGAATTTAATATGTATTGTCTTTATTAATAAATTTATATTAAGATATAATAAGAATTAAAATTTCAAAAGTTTAGTTGAATATACTGAGTTACCATTTGGGTGCAAAATAGAATCACCCCAACTTGTCTCCACAGTCCAGCTTTCAGGTTGTAGCCCATTACCCAAGTCTGTCTTAGTAATTCAAAGTGTTCAACATATAAGGCTAGGTAAATTACACTTTGCACTCTTACATTTTGCACCAAATTTTATTTCGGCCCCTACACATGAAATCATAACAGTCAATTTCTTATACTTCTGGTCAAATCTTACTTTAGTTCCTACACATTAAATCGTGATAGTCAACCCCCTGTACTTTTGGTCAAATCTCACTTTGGTCCCTACATAAATATTAATATTCCCCTTCTGTTAACCCATTGTTTAAATCTTTAATAGAATCTAATCATATAGCAACAAAATACAGATTGCGAACTAGGGTTTTGCATAAATTGGAATCACGAAATTCTATTTTTCACGGTAACGCCATCTTCTGTCTATTCATCTTACTTTCTCTTTGATTTCTTTGTCGCATTCACTGTCATGATTTTATGTGTAGGAATCAAAATGAAATTTGATGCAAAGTGTAGGGGTACAAGGTATAATTTAGCCTACTAGACTTATTAAGCAATCATTCTTTCAAAAAAATAAAGTTAATCATATATTGATAGTCCATGATTGGTTGAACACAAATTACAATCTCAAACAAGTTTTTCAAAATCTATAAATGGAAATGAAGCCTTAACTGGGCTCCCAAAAAAATTAGAATGAAAGGTATGGGCAATGGAAAGAAGCACGAAGGGAGTATTAGGGATAGATGTAGGATTTCCAGAGTTAAAGTAAAAAAGTAGGGATTAGGGGCCATTGAGATAGCATTGGGATATTATAATGGGAAGAGCACTCTCTAAACATTACAAGGATCCAAAAAAGCTTCTCTATCAATGGATCATCTTAGAACTAATTTATCCTACTGCTTCAATCAAAAAACTTGGTATTAATATCTAACCAATACTCTTAACCAATGTAGAAACATAGAAGAAAAGCTATGAGTTGTGTTTGATGTGATAAGTTGAAACTCTTGAGTGAAAAAAAAAATGTATATAGGATACACAGAAAAAGATTCTTAAAACTGCTAGCTAGTTAGAGGCTATTTCGATATCATGTTTCCTCATGATAGAAGTGCCAGTTACAAAAGTAGAACCTGTTACCATATGAGAGGAAACTGAATCAAAACCGCTACTGTTCCTCACCATGCGGGCAAATAGACCTCAAATTACTAGCCTCCACTGACAAGAATGGGAATGGGCTTAGGGGCGTTGGAATCTCATCTAGTCCCTCCAACATTTTCACCACAATGCTCGTCAAAGGCCTTGATTCAGGCTTATACTGAATGCACCAGAGAGCTATCTTAGCCATCCTCTCTGTCATCCCTCTATCCTTCTCCTCAATCCCACATGCTATCATCAACCCCCCCATTTCTCGTTTCTCATTTTTACTCCATACCCACTTAGGAAACCACTCTTGGCTCTCCGGAAGATTGACATCAAGGTTCCTTCTCCTTCCTATGATTTCAAATAGAAGCATCCCGAAGCTATAAACATCGCATTTATGAGTAATCGGTAAGGGCATCCATAGCCCAGGTACTGCATAACCAGGAGTTCCCCTTCCTCCAGTCATTGTTATGTGAGTTTTATCCCTATTACAAAGCTTGGCTAACCCGAAATCAGCTACTTTGGGAGAGAATTTCATATCCAACAAGATGTTTTCTGGTTTTATGTCATAGTGGATTATACGCTGCCGGCACTCTTCATGCAAGTAAGCAATACCTTTAGCTGTCCCAACCACGATCTCATGAAGCTTTTCAAATCCTAAGAGTTTATTGTCATTGAATAAGTACTTGTCAAGGGAGCCGTTCCCCATGTACTCGTAAACAAGAGCTCTCAGACATTTCTCAAAGCAAAACCCATGAAGTCGAACTAGATTGAAGTGATGTGTTCTCCCAATGGTACTCACCTCTGCTATGAACTGTTCCTCTATTCTTTTATCAGAGGTCCCATTTAGAACCTTCACTGCTACCATTGTTTCATTACTAAAAATCCCCTTATAGACTGATCCAAAACCGCTTGAACCAAGCAAAGTGTTGAAATTATTGGTTGCAATCCTAAGTTGCTGAGAGGTAAATTTGTTTGGCTTTTCCCTGTCCATGTCATCGAGGAATTTGACCATAAATAGTGGCAGGAATTGAGGCTCTAGACTAATAGTTCTATTTCTTAGTTGAGCTATTATCCTATGCACTTCTGCTACAATGACGATCATTGCATAGACAAATACTGCAACTAAATCAGAAACATATTTATATAGAGAAATGTTAGGGATCATAAAAAATTTTTCATAAAAATGATCATGAAAAATTTGTGACCCTTAGATTACCTTGATTAGTATATGGTGCTTTATTCTAAGTGTAATCCAAAGGTCACAAGCCTTTCATGATCATTTTCATAAAAGACTTTTCATGATACTTAGCATTGCTGATTTATATATATTAACATTTCATGTCACATTGAGAAATAAATTCGAAATGGAACCATTTAAGGGAATAGAAAGAAAAAAAATCTTACACATGATCCCGATAAGAATAAAGATGCCCATAACTTTGTCACCAATATCCAAGATTTTGAAAAGCAATTGCGGTCGCTGTCGCCGTAACAGTGGTAGTGCCGTGGTTGCGGTTGCGGAGTGTAAAGGCCGTAACGTAACGGTTGCGGTAATCGAAACAGTGAATTTTTTTTATTTTTCGCACAATTTGAAAAAAATTTACCGATACGCATATTTTTTTTCCATGATCATATTTATTGAGTTTAAAATAAATATTGATCAATTTTTGTAAATTTTTAAGTATGATCCAATATATTTCATATTTTTAAATCACTATAAACTGAGTTTTTTACATTTTATTTTAATAATTAATGACTTTATGTTATAAAAAAAATTAATCATTAACTATTATATAAATACTGTTTGGTAGGGCTTATTTCCAGCTTATTTCAGCTTTTAACTTAATTTAAGCCATTTTGATGTGTTTGGTTCAACTTAACAATACAGCTTATACCTTTTTGTAAGTCAAAAATCAATTTATTCTTTGAGTGGGGGAGGAGAAGCTTAATTTATAAGTCAAAAATCAGTTTATGTTCACAGCTATAAGCTATAAGTTGTTAGGCTAAAAGTTATAATCACTTTCCCACAGCTCTACCAAACGGGGCTACAAACAGAAGCTGCACCAAACAGTCAGGCACAGACTCCCAAATCAAAATAAGCTATAATCACCCCCCAACAACAGTCCCATAATGGTTCCAAAGTGATTGTTCCTAATTCCGCAGTGAGTCTATTAGGGAGTTTTTTTGATAAATTCACTTTCTAAAAGCTTTATTCCATCCAACCCGTATTCTTTTTGACTATTCTATTAGGTCCTATTTGAGATAAGAAGACCAAAATACCCTTTTCATCTACTTATATTATATTTAGTTCACATTATTTTCTTGTGTTTCAATAAGTCCTATGGGTGACATAATTACCAAAATACCCTTAATGTGAATGTTCACACCGTCAATGTGAATGTTCATATCTTCAATGTGTAGGGGCCCGGCCCATGTCGATCCTCGTGGGTGCCCGAAAAAATTTAAGTCGGGCCGGGGCGGGCCCAGTCCATTGACAATGCGAATATTCACATTGACATGTTAACATTCATATTAATAGGAGTGTAAAATTGGCCCGCGTCTCGTGGCGGGGCGAAATCCGCCCGCGGCCCATGGGCGGCCCGGTCCGGCCCGTTCACAATGTGAATATTTACATTGGCATGTTAACATTCACATTGATAAGAGTATAAAATTGGCCCGTGGCCCATGGGCGGCCAAAAGCCCGCCCACGGCCCGGGGCGGGCCCGGCCCGACCCGCTGACAATGTGAATATTCACATTGACATGTTAACATTTACATTGATAGGAGTATAAAATTAGCCTACGCCTCGTGGCTGCCCGAAACCCGCCCATGGCCCATGGGCGGCCCGGGGCGAGCCCGGCCCGACCTGTTGACAATGTGAATATTCACATTAACATGTTAACATTCACATTGATAAGAGTATAAAATTGACCAGCGGCCCAGGGTGGGCCCGGCCCAACCCGTTGACAATGTAAATATTCACATTGACATGTTAACATTCACATTGATAAGAGTGTAAAATTAGTCCGTGCCTCGTGGCTGCCCGAAACCTGCCCACGGTCCGTGGGTGGCCCGGGGCGGGACTGGCCATTTTTTTAAAATTCTTTTTAATTTTTTCTACCAAAATTTTATTATTTTCTACAAAAAAAGACACTAGGTCTTGGCGCGGGCTGGGCCTCAGACCGAGCCTTGAACGGGCCTTAACCGGGCCGATGGGTCGGGCCGAGCTTCAAAGTGATGACCCAGACCCTAGCCTAGGGTCTCGGACTAGGCTCGAGCCTAGGCCCAAACGAGCCTTTCCCGGGCCGGGCTGGCCCACGGGCCAAAAAATTAGACCCAGGCCCTAGCCTTGGCACAAGGGTATTCGGGCTTTAGATGAGCCGATGGATCGAGCCTCGGGTCGGGCCGGTGGGCCTGGGCCTAGCCTCGAGCTTAGGTAGGGCTTGGGCGGGCCTGGTCATTTTTTTTTAATTCTTTTTAATTTTTTCTATCAAAATTTTATTATTTTCCACAAAAAAATACATTGCCCCTCGGCGCGGGCTGGGCCTCGAACGGAGCCTTGAATGGGCCATAAGCGGGCCGATGGGCTGGGCTGAACTTCAAAGTGATGACCTAGGCCCTAACCTAGGGTCTCAGACATGCTCGGGCCTGGACCGAAACAAGCCTGCCTCCGGCCTTGGGCGGGCTTCGGGCAGCCCACGGGCCGCGGGCCAATTCTACATTCCTATCAATGTGCATTTTAACATGTCAATGTGAATATTCACATTGTCAACGGGCCGAGCTGGGCCTACCCCGGGCCGCGGGCAAGCTTCGGGCAGCGGGCAAATTTTACACTCCTATCAATGTTAATGTTAACATGTCAATATGAATATTCACATTGTCATGGGTCGGGCCAAGCCTGCCTCGGGCTGCGGTCAGACTTCGGGCCGCCCATGGGCTGCGGGCCAATTTTACACTCTTATCAATGTGAATGTTGACATGTCAATGTGAATATTTACATTGTCAACAGGCTGGGTCGGGCCCGCCCTAGGCCGCTGGCCAATTTTATACTCTTATCAATGTGAATGTTAACATGTCAATGTGAATATTCACATTGTCAACGGGCCGGGCCCGCCCCGGCTCGCGGGTGGGTTTCGGGCTGCCCATGAGCCAATTTTACATTCCTACCAATGTGGATTTTAAAATATGAATGTTCACATCATAAAATTATTAACCGTTCAAAAAATATTTATAAGAGTATCAAAATTAAATATAAGGGCATAAGTGTCCAAGAAAATAGTGTAAATCAAGAAAAATGACTTTATGGAATAAAACTATACATACATTGGACTAAATGGGTTAAAAAATTCCTTCATGGACTTCTTGGGTTAAAACACTTCTAAATGGGATTTATCAATAAAAATCTCTTATTATTATTATCAAACAATATATAGATAGACACACACAAACAAAATAGTTGAGTGATAGTAGCTGAATAGAATAGCATAGGTCTTACAGTTTCAACAAATCAATAACATATTCTTCATCTTCTCTCTTCTGTCTCTCTATCTCTTGCTCCTCCATCTTCTCTTTTTATCTTCCCTCTTCTCTCTATTTCTCTTTTCCCATTTTCAACTTTTTTTTGTGTATTTTTTTGAAAGAAGCAGTTCGGAACCGTTACGTAACAGGCCATTACGGCTATTACGGCACCGTTACGACCGCTACGGTAATTGCTACGGCTGACACACCTATAAATCTCAATTACACTATAAAAGCGGCTGAAACGGGTGGCGATAACCCCCACAACCGTTACGTAATGATTGTAGCCGCTTTTTAAAACCTTGCCAGTACCTGACATTACTGAGGAAGGTGTAGAAGAAGTGACCCTGAAGCACAACTTCAATAGCAAGAATTTGGAGATAGTAAAGAAAGTTTAAACTCCACAGATTAGTATTATTCCAACTTTTCATGGTGCAGAGTGGTAGTCTTTCTTTCCACGCTATAACCACCAGAATCTAGTAACCATGAATATGCCCAAACCAATATAGGCTAAGCCCCAGTTATGGTAAAACAAGGACAAGGCCGGCAGAGAAATATGGAAGTGAAAGTTGGATGATTGTAACAAGAATCATGTATTCTTGGCAAAAAAACCTTGGTATAATCTAGTTGGTGCCTTGGCTCTTTTAGCCTATTTGAGAAGCACCCTGCATCTTAAAGTCCCCTACATTGGCCTTGACAGTATGTGCTAATTAAATAGGATCATCATGCACTCTTGTAGATGATAGTTAAAATCCACCAAATTTAAGGGTTTATTTAAATGGCTCCATTAAATCACATAGGATAACCATCCCAAATTGAAGTTGAGAAATAAAATATATGGATTTTCTTGGTGAGAAATTTACATTCAATCATATTTTGTGTATCTCTAATATTTCTTAAAGCGAATTGTTGGGATGTTTGATGTAGGCCCATCGCCCAATGCTCATCTTGATAGTTCGAATCATTCAACTTATAAGGCTCATTAAGCAAATCATTTGTATGAAAAAATTAAGTTGATCAAACATCAGTAATTTCATGTAATAAGAGTGTGTGCGGTGTGATTCAGACGGTTTGAAGATAAAATTATAAACTAAACCGTAGATGGCAGATTGACAAATAATCAAATCATGGTTTGAGGCGGTTTCAATTTGCCAATTAATTGAAGAATAAACTTACACAATTATCAAGTATTTACATAATATTATTTTTATATATATAGCACAAACTAATTTTTCATAATATAATATATATATATATATATATATAACACTAATTTATAACAAATTTCACATATTAAATTTTTCTCACATTGATTTTTATTTTGATATTTCATTAAGAGTTAAAAAAATATGTATTAACTATAGAAGAGCGGAACGGTTTCGAAAGTAGATTATAAATTTTAAATCACAAATCAAACTAATCCACAATTTGCAAACAAATCAGTACAAATTGGATGATATTTTACATAACCCTAGTCCCGTGATCGGTTTAACACAAATCACAATCCCGAAACTTAGCTTTGTCAAGATCTATATATGGAAATGATAAAGCCTTAATTGATGAAGATGGAATAGGCTCCCAAAAAATTAAAAAATGAAAGGAATGGCCAATGGAAGCACTGAGGGAGTATTAGAGATAGAAAATTGTGGGATTTTAATAGCTAGATAGAAAGTAGTGATTAGGGCCATTGAGAGAGCATTGGGATAAAGTCAACCAAAACAACAGAACTAGTGAAAAGAGTAATGCTAAGGATTATGAAAAAAATATCATGAAATGCATCATGAAAATTTTTCATCTTTTGATTAGTGTGCAGTGTTTTATTGTTGTGTAATCCAAAGGTAGAGAATCTTTTATGATCATCTTCATGATATTTTTTTCATGATTCTTAGCAAAACCACACTGGACAATGGGAAGAGCACTCTCTAAACATTACAAGGGTCAAAAAAAACTTGTCTTTCAATGGATCATATTAATTTATCCTAATGCTTCAACAAATAAATAAATAAATAAAAACTTCAGAGAAAATGGTATTAATATCTAACGAACAAGCATAACCAATGTGGAAACATAAAAGTAAAGCCATGAATTGTATCCGAAGTGATAAGTTCAAACCCTTGAGTGGCAAAAAAAAAAAAAAAAAAAAAAAAAAAAACAATTTTATATATGATACAGAGAGAGATTCTTCAAACTACTAACTAGTTGGATGCTATTTTGATTTCATATTTCCTCATGATAGGAGTGCAAGTTGCAAAGGTAGAATGTGTCACCATATGAGAGGAAACTGAATTAAAACTGCTACCATTTCACACCATGCTCGCTATCAAACTTGAATTACTACGCTCCACAAACAAGAATGGGAAAGTTTACAGGTGTTGGAATCTCAATTGCTCCCTCAACACTTCACCACAATGCTCATCAAAGGCCTTGATTCTGGCTTGTACTGAACACACCAAAGAGCTACCTTAGCCATCCTCTCTGCCATCCCTCTGTCCTTCTCCTCAATCTCACATACTATCATCAACTTCCTCATTTCTCCTTTCTCAAATATAGTCCACACCCACTTAGGAAACCACTCTTGGCTCTCCGAAAGATTGACATCAAGGTTCTTTCTCCTTCATATGATTTCAAATAGAAGCATCCCAAAGCTGTAAACATCGCATTCATGAGTAATTGGTAAGGGCATCCATAGCTCAGGTGCTGCATAACCAGGAGTTCCCCTTCTTCCAGTCATTGTTATGCGAGTGTTATCCCTATTACAAAGCTTGGCCAACCCGAAATCAGCTACTTTGGGAGAGAATTTCACATCCAACAAGATGTTTTCGGGTTTTATATCACAGTGGATTATACATTGCTGACACTCTTCATGCAAGTAAGAAATACCTTTGGCTGTTCCAACTGCAATCTCGTGAAGTTTTTCAAATCCTAAGATTTTATTGTCAAGGAATAAGTACTTGTCAAAGGAGCCGTTCCCCATTTACTCGTAGACAAGAGCTCTCAGACATCTCTTGAAGCAAAAGCCACAAAGTCGAACCAGATTCAAGTGATGTGTTCTCCCAATGGTACTCACCTCTGCCACGAATTGTTCCTCTAATTCTTTTATCAGAGGTCCCATTTAGAACCTTCACTGCCACCATTGTTCCATTACTAAAAATCCCCTTATAAACTGACCCGAAGCCACCCGAAGCCACCTGAACCTAACAAGCTGCTAAGAGGTAAATCTTATCGGATTTTCCTTTTCTATGTCATCAAGGAATTTGACCATTGAAAGTGGCAGAAATGGGGACTCTAGATTAACAGTTCTGCTTTTAGCTTGAGCTCTTTTTGACAAAATACCATTACAATGGTGTCATTGAAGTGACAATTGCTGCAATTTAAGAAAAAATGAATCAGAAATAGACATATTTTAACATTTCATTTTAGATTGAGAACCAAATTCAAAATGAAATCATGGAAGGGAATGGAAAAAGGGAGTCTTACCCAAGATCTCAAGAACAAGATCCCCTAGATGATACATACGTTTATTGAAAACTCAACATTCCTTAGAAGGTGAAGAAGAAGCGAACCCAGAACACAACTTAAATAGTAGCAACTTGGAGACAGTAAAACCCAGTTTAAATTTAATATAAACTAGAGAAAAACTTCACAGATTAAAATTGTTCGAAGTTTTCATGGTGCAAAGAATTGCGGAGTCTTTCCACACTTTGAACACTAGAAGCTAGTACCCATGAATATGCTCAAACCGACATAGGTTAAGGCCTAGTTATGAGAGAACATGGACAAGGCCGGCAGAGAAATGGAAGTGAAAGTTGGATGATTGTAACAATAATCAACATTTATGGAGAAAAACCTAGGTATAATCAACCTAGTCCCCTGGCTCTTTTAACCTATTTAAGAAGCACCCTGTATTTTAAAGTCCTCTGCATCGGATTTGACAATGTGTGCTGGCTAAATAAGATAATAGTTATAAACCACCAAAATTAAGGGTTTATTTAAATGGCTCCATTAAATCACATAAGACAACAAGAAAATGGGTATCACCATCCCAAATTGAAGTTGAGAAATAGATTGTGTAGATTTTCTTGGTGAGAATTTTACATCCAATCATGTTGTGTGTCTAATATTTCAATCATGTATTACATTCAATTCATATTTACAAAAAGAGTAGGGAAAAGAAAAAAAGGAAAAAAAGGAAATTAAATTAAGTTTGTTATACATCAATTACATATTAAGAGAAATTAGCAATTTAAAGCTGATTTGGAAAATGTCAGTCCTGTTTAAAAACCTAAAAATGTCCCATATTGGTTTTAGAACTTAGATACCTAGGCAGCTGAGTCATAAGATAATCTCAGCTCCTGATGCCATAAGTCGTCAACCACTCCTCAGGTTCTAGCTTATTTCAATCTCATATTGTGTTGATGTTTGAGAAGATTCTGAGTTGGAATTGCATACACCACCACCCTTTGTTAATTCAGCAACCCTATCCGGAAAGGGTGACCCTGCAACCATCAAGTGTCGAAATGGATTTCTAGGCATCGGCAACTCTACCCCTCCTTCCAACATCTTCACCACAACACTCATCAGAGGCCTCTCCTCCGGCAGATACTGAACGCACCACAATGCAACCACCACCACCCTCCCTGCCTTCTCTTTATCCTCCTTGTCTTTAATATTGCAAATCACCATTACATCCGAAACCTCTCCTTTTTCAAATTTTTTCCAAACCCATCTCGGAAACCACTCTTGACTATCTGATGAATTCACCTCCAAATTTCTTCGCCTTCCCAAAATCTCAAATAGAAGCATCCCAAAGCTGTAAACATCGCACTTGTGGGTTATAGGAAACGGCATCCACAATTCTGGAGCAGCATACCCAGGAGTCCCCCTCCCTTCAGCCAGTGTCATGTGAGTTTTCTCTCGATTGCAAAGCTTTGCCAATCCGAAGTCAGCAACCTTGGGACAGAAATCTACATTCAGAAGAATATTTTCGGGTTTTATGTCGTAATGGGTTATCCTCTGCTGACACTCTTCATGTAAATACGCAATACCTTTGGCTGTTCCAATCGCAATATCGTGTAATTTCTCCCACTCGATGTTTTCATTTTTGTTGAATAGTAGCCGATCCAGAGAACCGTTCTCCATGAACTCATAGACAAGAGCAGTGAGTTGTATGTCAAAGCAAAACCCATAAAGCTGAACAAGATTGATATGGTGTGTTCTCCCCATAGTGCTAACTTCAGCCACAAACTGTTCCTCTATTCTCCTTTCAGAGCTCCCATTGAGAACTTTCACTGCAACTGGTAAGCCAGTAGAGAAAGTTCCTTTGTAAACCGCCCCAAAACCACCTGTACCTAACAAATTGGAGAAATTGTCCGTCGCGGTTTTAAGTTGCTGAGAAGAAAACCTGATAGGCTTCTCAATCTCATCAAGGACTTTGCCAATAGCCGGTGCTATAATCTTGGAGCTGCCTTCAGGATATAAGCAAACTCCAGTCCTTCTTCCCTCCAAGGATTTGTGAAATATCAATGATATCCTCCACAAGATCATAACCACTGCAAATTGAGATATAAGAATGAAAAACCATAACCAAAATAACAATCAAATAAAAGAAGAAAAAGCTACAGAATTGCTTACAGAGAAAACTTAAAATTGCTATTGTTCCAATCTCCATCAAGACAGATGCCAACTACAGGAAATGGATGTTTGTCACAACTTTGTTCACAACGAAGAAGAAAACATTGTTTTTGCCAAAACAAATAAATACCCAGAATAGTGATTAGGGTTCAGAATTTGGAATTGATATCTACATATACTGCGGTTGATGTTCTTTCAGATAAGATTTCGTGTCTAATCAACCAGTGCTTTCCTGAAAAGAAACCAATCTAAGTGATGTCTGTAAAATGAATATTCTCAGAATCAATACAAGCTTAACAAATTTATTGTAACATATATTATTGTATTCAAACCCTACTCCTATGTTTCTTTCTGCTTGTCAATTAATAAACCAATTACAAAATAATAATAATAATAATAATAATAATAATAATAATTCAGGATTTGACATTTAAGTGCACATCCAAAAATTCACATATAAAATAATGCTGGGAAGACCAAGTAGCGGTAAAGGCACGTCTTACTGGGTACTACAACTTGGTTAAACAAGCATCTTAGAGGGTACCATGGTTTGATTCTTGTAGGCGTGCAACACCTAAACATTAGGTAAGCTCCTCCACAGGATTGACAATGTTCTCAAATGTACTAGACGGAAAACAAAAACAAAAACAAAAACAAAAACAAACAAACAAACAAACAAACAATGCTGGCAGCAGGGCAGTAAAAGGGAACTCAAGCCAACCCTTCTCCCACATAATCATTCACCCAAATCCAAACCGCACAGGTCATCAATTAGGATGAACTACAACCATCAGACACTCATCAGCTGCTTGCTAAACCAGAAAGATTTAAAATTTAATAATAGGAGGGGAAGGAAAATTTAAAAGAATAAATAAATCAATAGTGAAAACTGAGACTACTGAAGACAAAATGTAAAAAAGAATGAGAAATGGCAAGTGGTGGCGGGTAGTGGGCGATGACGAGTGGTGACGACGGAAGACGGTGGTGGAAAATGATGGCGGGTGGTGGTGGCGGAAGACGGTGGTGGAAAACAGTGGCAAGTGGTGGGTGATGGTGGCAGAAGACAGTGGTGAAAAGTGATGACAAGTGGTGGGTGGTGGTAACGGAAGATGGTGGTGAAGACGGTGGTGACGGGTGGTGGCAGCGGAAGACGGTGGTGGAAAGTGGTGACAGGTAGCTGGTGGTAGCGGCGAAAGACGATGATGGAAAGTGGTGGAGAGTGGTAGTGATGGAAGATGGAGGTGGCGAGTGGTGGCAGCGAATACGGTGGTGGAAAGTGGTGGCAGGTGGCGGGTGGTGGCGGCAGAAGATGGTGGTGGTGGAAAGTGACGGCGGAAGACGGTGGTGGGTGGTGGCGGCAGAAGACAGTGGTGGAGGGTGGTGGTGGGTGGTGGTGGCGGAAGACGGTGGTGGAAAATAGTGACAGGTGGTGACGAGTGGTGGGTGGTTAAAAAAAAAAACTGAAAACGTAAACTCATTTTTTGAGTTTACAAATTTTGGCCAAATTTATAAACTGAGGCCACTGGTTTATAAACTAAAATATTTCCCAAACAAGTTTTTATGACAATTTTTAAAATTTTTGTAAATATAAACTGAAAATTGAAAATATAAGTGTTACCAAACGCCACCTAGGTAAGCTCCTCCACAGGATTGACAATGTTCTCAAATGTACTAGACGGAAAACAAAAACAAAAACAAAAACAAACAAACAAGCAAACAATGCTGGCAGCAGGGCAGTAAAAGGGAACTCAAGCCAACCCTTCTCCCACATAATCATTCACCCAAATCCAAACCGCACAGGTCATCAATTAGGATGAACTACAACCATCAGACACTCATCAGCTGCTTGCTAAACCAGAAAGATTTAAAATTTAATAATAGGAGGGGAAGGAAAATTTAAAAGAATAAATAAATCAATAGTGAAAACTGAGACTACTGAAATCCAACCCTGTTCACCAGGTTAGCACTGCATCATTCTTACAATTCGCATAAAAACAAACACACACGCGCAAGGGATGATATAGCCAGCCCCCTTCGGGGGAGGCCAACCAAAATTTCTGTGATGCAGATAACAAATGGCATCATATCTCCTTAAAATTACAAACCATTGCAGAGTGAATCTCTGCTCTCTGGGCAACAAAGAAGAGCTTTTAATTAAGAAAAAGTTACAAATACATTAGCAAATCAAGATCAAAAGTTCATCAATCGGGTAATGAAAACAGAGAACATGAAGGAAAAGTACAGGACAAAAAAGGAGCTAACTTTATATTGATTACAAGACCCATATGATATAACCTCTAAAACAATAAAGACTGTTAGATGCTACAACATAATTTCTAGAGAGAAGCAACAGCCAGATCCCAAAACACTTGGAGAAAGGTCCCTTCACGCATCAATAGGCACTACCCTTATTTAGTATTTAGGCATACAGGTAAAGGACCCAGGAGAATCTGCAGGTGGCCTTGACAAAATTTCTGCAAACCAGTAGTTTTCAAGTTTAGGGGAATCCAATATAACATTTCAGCAAAACCACAAAAAAGGATTATAAATATCTCGTTACCTGCCCAACCAACATGCTTGTTACACGCTTTGTACTTTGCTGGATATATCTTTTGCTTTTGTATCTACTTGATCCTGGATTAGATGTTCAACCAAGGGTAAGAAGGGAGTTATGAATAGCAAGTTGCATATGCCACAATAAACACTAAGAAATCAATTTAGAACAATGATAATAACTATATTTTCAACCACAATATGAAAAGCCAACATAATTGGTAAAATTGCATCTGCAAATGCTTCATATCCATACCCAGATATCTATATAACATACATAAAAGTAAATTGGGGATGCTTTTTTTGAATACCCTATACTATGATTATACCCTTCAAGCCCCTACTTATTGCAATTATGCCATTGCTTAAAATCAACAACCCACCGCGATTGCCTACAAGCTTCCTCAATGAACGAACTCTTATCCATATGCGGCTTGCTCTATGATTCCATCCACGTAGTCAGGTCTCTTTCCTCAAAGGGTTTCACAAAGAAGCCATCACCCACCAACCAACCGAGTTTAGCCTAATTGGCCAGAGCCTTGCACCTCACTAAGAGAGCTCAAAGGGTTCAAGTCTAGCCGCAAGCAAAACTCGCCCCCTCCCCCAAGCCACGGCCTTCGATGCAAAGAAAAAACAAAAACACCACCTGCCAATTTTGCTCCAATTGATGTGAGCGAGTGCAGTAATTAGAGATATGAATCTCCTTAATTTGACTAACTAAATGGCTGTTGATAGAGTCAAGTGAAGAAGAAGGATTTATGTAGCCGACCCCATTTGATGGAACTTAAGGCTCAGTTTGGTTTTGTTTGGTTTGGTTCTTTTCTTTTCTTTTGACATTGCTCTAGTCTCCCCTTTTTCCTCTTGATTTTTTTTTTTTTGGTGTGTATGGTTTATGTGGGGGAAAAAATTCCATTGATCTCCAGCGCTAATTACATCCCAATGGATTGATTTTGTGAAGCTGACAGAATATTACACAAATTGAAAAAAAAAAACAAGTTTTTGCTCTTTGTTACTTTCACTAGTTGATAGTATTTGTCTTATGACTTATTCTTCTTCTTCTTTCCTCTCACAAGGTGAAAAAAGTGGCTTACGTGGAATAGTTTGTATTGTGGTTTTTGTTGTTTTAACATTTTGCTCAAATGCATACATGTATTGATTATGTATTTTGGCATCCAATACTACCAACATATAGGTTGGGAAGTGTCGTGCTTTTATTTGATGAGATACATGCTTAGGCGTGCATAAAAATTACTAGAATGGGGGACTATTGTAACATAAACCAATAAAACAACACTTTTTTTTCAATTTCCAGAGGTTGAAATTGAGAATAATCTCAATATGATAAATGAGATTAACGACTCAACTTTCCAGAAAAATATGACTAATGACAAGCAGTGGAACAAATCATGTAAGTTATCATTACTTTTCTCAATGAAATGTGTCATGGTTTAATTTCCCTTCACATGGTGGGTGATGGATTATTTTATGTAAATATGAGAATCTTCATATTTCTTTACACTTGGATTAATATTTGAGATTGATATCAATATCTAAGCACAACACAAGTGCAGGGGGTTCAACTAGTATTTTGAAAAGACTTTTGTCCAGTCTGCTAGTCATGGTTTCCTTTTTATTTATTTTTTAAAACATTTTTTGACATTTTCTATTAACATTAACCAATTTATAGTCACATTTTATTACATAAAAAGGTTGAAGTGAGAGTGAGGAATAGAAAGAGAAAACAGCCTCCAAGCTATAAACAACTCTGGATTATATCACATCCTGGACCCAAAAAGATTCAAAAGCCCTTTCTCCACTTTGTCAAAAGCACACACTTTCAAATCACGGTGGGGACAACTGCTAGCTCCATCAACTATTGAAGGTCCAACTAAGGTAGGAAAACTTTAGAAAACATGGCACAAGACTTCCTACGAGTCGAGCTTCGTGGTGGGTTTTGGTTATAGAAAGCTTCTACACTCAGTCTAATTGTTGAAGCATGGCGGGGGGGATTGGTCTTCGTTGGAGGTGTCCATGTCCCTTTGTTTAGGACTATGGAACTTGGAAGGGTATTCAAATTGGGCGGCGTGTGGTGTAGGACTGTGGAAGGGTATTCAAATTGGGTGGGTTGGATGTGTTTTTGAGCCATACTCGAGTTGTTGCTGGGAGTGGGCACAGGATTGGTTTGAAGTCACCTTCAATGTGGAGGAGAAGTTGGAGCTCTCTTTCCTTTCTCTTGCTGATGTGGCATGGCAACTAATAGAGAAACCATTAGTTACTATTTTCAGAAAAAGGGTTATCAAGTTTTTTGGAACGTTGATTTCAGGAGAGAGTTGAATGACTGATGTAAAGAAATTGATGATACTCTTTTATCTCTTCAATTTGACTCCCCTCTATAAGGAGAGAGAGAGGACATAGATAGGTGCAAGCCAAATATGAGAGAACTAAGAAAAAGTCATTTTATGAAGCTTTGGCAAAGCACAAGGATTCATCCTTTCTGGGGAGCGGGGTTTGGGGTCCAAGATCCCTCGGAGGTTGCAACTCTGTTTGGACCGCTGACAGCCATTCATGCGAAGATCTTGACTATTGATACTTTGATTAAGAATCCACATCAATTGGTGTTGTATGTGTAAAAATAAGAGGGACTTGCATGTAAGTCTTAATAAGTGAACTTATTGTTTAATAGGTCCTATGATAATTAATGGCATTTTTCATCAAACACTATTAAAAAAAAAAAATCACTAATTGCTAAGTTTCAGCGACAGTTTAAAAATTCTCACAAAAAAGCCCTTAATTATAAGTTCTAGCGACAGTTTAAAAAAATCGTCACAAAAAAACGTTGCTAATTTTCAACGACAATTTAAAAAATTCGTAACAGAAAAATATCACTAATTATAACCGTTAGCAACAATTTACAAAACCGTGACAAAAAAGTCACTAATTGTTAATTTTTAGAAACATGCAAAAAATCGTTATAAAAAATTATTTTTAACGACGATTTTAGTAAGACTTATTTTCAATAGGATTTTATTGGAATTAAATTTAATTATTAGGACCTATTGGTAGTTTACCCTAAAAAATAATGGGGAATCCATTAATCATATCCTAATTCATTGTTTGGTGGCTAGGGAGTCGTGGTTCTTGTCACTGAGCATGTTTGGTGGACAAGTATGAAACCTACCAGTGTGCCTGTGCAGGGGTTTGCTCCTTGCTTGAAGGGGAGCTAAGGTGGGTAAGAGAAGGAAACAGGTTTGGCTTTTGGCTCCCTCGGGCCTCGGCGGCTTTCATGTGGATCACTTGGGGGAAACAATCATGTTTGATGGATTTGAAGATCTCATTTTTAGATTAAAAATCCCTATGTTGTTTAATTTGTATAGTTGGTTCTCAAAAAGTGTTAAACCATCATTTAACTGAATACCTTCACACATTTCTATACACTTGTTATACAAATATCACAACTAATGACCACCCAGCATTTCCCTAAAAAAAATATAGATCTGAAGGAACTACAGATAACTAAGATAAGGAAAACACACAAGAAGGAGGAATAAATAGTGATGAAACTTATTCTCCCATGGCAAAGGTCCATAATCTTCAAATTTCAGGTCATGCAATCTTAAAATGTAGAATGGAACTCTATCTTTATTCTCGTGAGTAAATGATGTGATCAATTCCCGATCTGAGTATGATAGATCCTATTTTTCTCTTTGATCAACGGAAGGTAAAGGTCAACTTATTGTAAAGCCGTATGCAATGGACAAAAGATGCACATACTAATTATAAAAATAAAAAATAAAACAAGAAAAGAAGAATAAGAAGCTTAATCAGGAAGCATAATTGAGTAGAAGGAAAAGATGATGAGGAATTGCTTATAAGCTACATCAATTGTTCCTTCAAAGAAGTCTTTGGACCAGCATGTTTTGCCCCACCAACACCAAACAATGAAAAAAACAAACCCAACAAAAATCACCATGAGTGAAATCAAAGCTCATAAACTGATTAACAGAACAGTCAAATTCAGAACTAATATCAATAATATTTGAGCAAACATGAGTGAAAATTTAGTAAATTGCTTTAATAGAAAGCTCACCGATCCCTTGTTTTCGTAATAATCATCTAAAGCCCACTGATACTTTGATTGATTCAACCCGAACCAATGTGCCACGTACTCATCCAAACTCGAATGAGCTACAAAACAAAACAAAAAATTACAAATGAATATAAAAGCTCTTACCACTTAGGCAGCACAATATTAATTTCTTTATCATTTATTTTTAATTTTAGTTACTTGAATTGCACAAGCATCACTTGTGCCAACAGCTAGTAAATAGTAAATAAATAAACAACTGAAACAAATTTAAAATTCAGGGTCTGTTTGTTTGCCCATAGGTGGAAAGATAATGAAACATTAAATTGATAACTTTATTCACAAAAATCCTGTTCTTTTCTCTGAACAATCCCTAACAATGTGACAAACACTTATCCAAGCCCCCAATGTGTTATAAAAAACAATATCGAAGAAATCAAAAACATTTTTTGTTTCACGAATCACGATTCAGAAGAACTAAAACCAAACAGAGATTTTAGTCTTTCGAGTTTACTCATCCAAACTCGAATAAGCTGTTAAAAAACAAACAAACACAATTAAAATTCCAGGTCTGTTTGTTTTCCCAAAAAAATATAGGTGAAAAGATAATAATGAAACATTAATTGAGCACTTATTCAAAAAAAATCAAAACAAGCCAAAACTATGTGATGATAAATATTTATCCAAACCCCAATGTAGCAGAAATCAAAACATTTTGTTTCACCAATCACAATTCAAAAGAACAAAAATTTTTAAAAAAAAAGGGAAGAAAACAGGCAGCGAAATTTTCCGTCATTTTCTCGGAATCAAAGGAATGGTGAGAAAATTCCTCAAAAGAATGGGGGGGAAAAAAAAGCACAGCAACGACACTGTACAGAAAAGATCAAAACGGTACCGTTCTGGACTTTAGCGACGGCGTTCCAGAAGAACCCGAAGGCCGGTCCGTCGGACGGAGCGGGCTTCAGAAACTGCTGCGGCGGAGCCTGAACCGGCGGCTGGGGGGTCTGAACCGGTGGCGGAGTGCGAGGCTGAACCGGCGGCGAAGAAGGAGCGTTTTTAGGCGGCGATTCGGAAATCGGAGCGGAGGGTTTAGGTGAAGGAGTCGCCGGAGGAGTAACGAAGACTGTGTAAGGTCCGATCTTGCCGATCATAGGAGGAGGAGTCGATTCTTTGCTTGTGATCGGCATTTTCTATGTCTAGAGAGAGAAAGCACAAGTATATACTACTTGGAGTGAGAGTGTGTTGTGTGTATATATATCTATATGTATATTTATATGTATTTAGAGAGAGAGAGAGAGAGAGAGAGAGAGAGAAGAGAGGAATAAAAGGATTTTGAGAGAGAGAGGGAGAGAGAAGTAGAAGGTGGAAAAGTGAGTTTGAGATGTGGCAATGGGTGTGAAGTGTGAAAGTGAGTTGGATGGGTGGGTATGTATGCATGCATGTATGTATGTATGTATGTATGTGTAACTAATGGATGGGGATTGGGGGGGTGTTTGGGGTTTAAGACACGGCTATGCACGCTTCTCGATGTCTGTCTGTGCCTTGGTGGTGGATCTTTGTCTTTTTCTTATTATTATTATTTTAAGAAAAATTTATCCATAAGTTTTAGTTTCTGAAAAGTTAAACCATTTAGTTCTAAAAGTTTTCTTATGTTTCAGTTAGTCCCATTTGCACATCAATCTAATGTTTGAAATATTAATCTGATGTTTGGAATCAAATGTTTGAAATATTAATCTGATGTTTGAAATCTAATGTTCGAAACATTAATCTGATATTTGAAACATTGTAATGGGACCTTTCAGTCTATAAGAAAATTTTTAGGACTAAACAGTGTATAAGTTATTAATTTGGGATTTATTAGTGCATCCCCTTATTTTAAATATATATATACAGTAATATACACTTAATTATTTAAAATTATTATTTTATAGTTGAGATTTATTCTATAATCTCGTTTGGGAACAGATTTTTTTAGTAATTTTTTAGTTTTTTAGTTAAAATATGATGTAAAAAAAATTAAGGATTGTTTGAGGTGTCCTAAATAAGTGTACTTTTTGTCTTTTTTAGACTAAAAAATTGAGGTTGAAAATATAGATGTTTGTGTTAACTTTTTGACTTTTTATAGAAAAATGTATAATAAAAAATTATAAAAATTAATTTGTAGGAAAAAATTCGAATGGGGAGTTGTGCAGTCGTAATTGTTGACTTTTGGTAACTAGTATTAACTTTTTAATTTTTTGAGTAATTTTTTGACTTTTTAACTTTTTTACAAGTTCCCAAACTTAGCCTTAGTATGTTTATGATAACTTTTTTACTTTTTACGAAAAGATTTGACTTTTTGTATAAGTTATTGATTTTTTTACTTTTTAATAATTTTTTGACTTTTAAACTAAAAAAGTCACTTGACAAACGAAGCCTGTATATACATTTTATACAATATAATTTTTACTATATAATTACTCGTTCAAAAAAATATGGATTGATTTTTCTGAGTTAATAGACTTATGTACACAATATAAAAAATGTGGACCTTCTCCCAATATAAATTATTTTTTATAAATATTTACATAATTAATAGTTAAAAAGTGAACAAAATTTATCAAGCTAACCCTAATCATCACTAATAATAGGAGAAAAATAAATCAACTACCACAAAGGTAATCCTCACTAATAAAAGGAGGGGTAAATTATACTACAAAAATGCTTTATACCCCCACGGGGTCGACCCCCAGTGAGGTGGAGGCCCGTGATTGGGCGAAAAAAATTGTTTTTTTTTTTTTTTTTTTTGGTTGTCAGCCAGTGGGGGCGCGCCACCTCACTGGGGTATTTAGCAGGACTCATTATACTAACAGTCTTTATAATTTGGAACTTGTATTATTTTGGTTTCTAACTTTTCAATTATGACACATTTGACTCTCAATTTTGAATCTTGTTCTAAATAAGGACAATTGAAGATACTATTAGATTTTTCAACGGCAAAATCGTCAATTTGATAAAATATAAATTAATTTGACAAAAATAAATGTCAAAAAATTATTTTTGAATTTTTAAAAATTATTTCTACCTACTAAGGATAAAATTAATAAATCTTTTAGATATTTTTTTTACCAAATTAATTTTTATTATATATCTAGATGATGATCATGTAAAATTAATTTTTAAAAATTAATCATGTAATTTTTATCAATTTTACATAATTTTATTTTTGATGGGTAGAAATAATTTTTAAAAATTTTAAAATATTTTTTTGACATTTATTTTTGTCAAATTAGTTTATATTTTATCAAATTGACGATTTTGCCTTGTTCAATTGTTCTTATGTGGAACAAAATTCAAAATTCAGGATTAAATGTGTCACAATTAAAAAGTCAGGGACTAAAGTGACACAAACTCCAAACTATAGAGACTGTTAATGTAATTTACCCTAAAAGGAGAGAAATAAGTCGACTATCATAAAGATAGGTAGTGTTACATGCGTTACTTGATATATTAATTAGTATACTAAAATGTATTATGATATTATTACTTCAAAATGATGACTCTACCCATTATACAAATTATAAATATCTAAAACTTCTAAAATTATATCACATCATCACTAATAATGGGAGAAAAATAAACCAACTGCCACAAAGCTCATACTAGAAAGGGTGTTATACAACCACTAGACTAAGGCCTTGTTTGGGAAATTGGTTATTTTAGTAAGTTATTTTAGTTTTTGACTATTTTAGTAGGTTAAAATTTTTGTATTTGGGAAGATTGTTGGAGTTTTTTAAGTTGAATGTGATGCTTGTGAGAGAAAAAATGAAATGATTATATATTTGATGTGATATTTTATCTTATTAGCTATTTTAACCTATTTTGTCTTTTTGTAGATTTTAACCTAAAATAGGCTAAAATAGCCCTTGTCAAACAAGGCCATAGAAGATTTGAATCATTTATCTCGTAAACCTCACAATAAAGTCATTTATGTGAAAAAATCAATTTATCATACATCTACAAATACCCAAAACAAAATACATTTTGTTTTATAAAATGAATAGTAAATATGATTATTTTATGAAACAAAATACAATTTATTTTTGTATTTATAATTATCCGATGAAACTATATTTTTTCTAAATAACCTTTCTTACGAAACTTACGAAATAAGTAATTCAAATCATTTGTGTGTATGTCCAAATTAGGGTCCACAAAAATGATAACTATGGAGAGATGATGTACAGATCCTTTCTGCCTGAGTATTTGCTATGCTTTTTGTGTTTTGCTATTTCTATGTTCAAAAAAAAGAAGGTACAGATGGAAGCTCATCCCTAATTTAATAAATTGCATTTCATTTCTTATAAAATGTTATTTATGATGGGCATCTCAACCCAAATTTAATAAAAATAATACTATATGTACTAATTTGTATATCAATTATTGTACTAACAAATGATATAATATAATTTTAAAAGTTTTAAATATTTATAATTTGTATAATGGGTGAGATCAGTAATAATATCATAACATATGTTAATACATCAATTGGTATATCAATTGGTACATATAATACCACAAATTTAATAAATAGCATTTCATTTCTTATTAAATGTTATTTATTACTTACTAAATACTATTTACTAATTAATTAACTATTTTTATTCTTTGGATTGCACATGACCCATATTGTGGCCTCGTTTGTTAATATTAGGTTAAATAGTCTGTACGGGAGCAAATATTCCGGCAAGTCCGTACTCCTTTCTTCCAAGCTCCTGTCTGTCCGATCGACCTGCAAGCACAACAGCAGTGAGCTACCCGGCGGTGTGTGGCCGGAAAACCCCTCCGACGATCAAGTTAGCACACACCTTGGGATAGGGAGAGAGGAGAGAGAGTTGAGTGTAAGAATTTCTTTACCCAAAAATGTTCGTCCCTTGTATGGTAGGCGCAAACCCGCTTATATACCTTCTGCCCCCTAGATCTACTCTCCTTAGTCTCTCGACACCTGGTGTTGCTATCCCATCTGTCAGCACAAATCTCGCTGAACACCACCTAACCCAACTGCCAGCCCACTCTACTGGGAGCTCGGCAGCCGGGCTGCAGCTTCTCGGCTGCCAACAGCCATACTGCACTTCAAGACCAAGTGCTTCCAATAATCGAGCTTCGTTTCAGCCGTGCTCGACCGCATTCCGGCGACGCCGAGCACGGGATTGGTCATTCCGGTCAACCAAAGGCCTTCCAGCCGAGCTTCAGGCACGAATCTTCATGCCAAGCTATGGGTGCGCGCCTTCCGACCGAGCAACGCACGAACCGTGAAGCCCTTCTAGGCCGCGGACGTCTCAGCCGAGCTCTCACTTGACCGGCCTTTATGCCAAAGAGCCTAAGTAGCTCGGCTCCGCAGGCCCTTTGCCATTACTGAGCAAAACCACGACACAATCTTGAAGCCAAATACCTCGGCCCAATCTTGTTTGGCCGAAACTAGATCATAAATCTCCCTCTCAATTGCCCTTAATTCCGTCCGCGCTAGCGTGACTGGGATAACATTACAAGGCCGGGCTAGGCTTTTTGCTCGGTGATCCACTTTCTTCGGTAAGGAACTCCAAGGAAGGTGAGCAAGGTCCGCTCGGCGACTTCCCTCTTGGCGAGCAAGATCAGCTCGGCCAAGGAACTCCAAAGAAGGCGAGCAAGGTCCGCTCCGCCACTTCTTTCTTGGCGGACAAGATCAGCTCGGCCAAGGAACTCCAAAGAGGGGGAGCAAGGTCCGCTCCACGACTTCCTTCTTGGCGGACAAGATTAGCTCGGCCAAGGAACTCCAAAGAAGGCGAGCAAGGTCCGCTCCGCCACTTCCTTCTTGGCGGACAAGATCAGCTCGGCCAAGGAACTCCAAAGAAGGGGAGCAAGGTCCGCTCCGCGACTTCCTTCTTGGCGGACAAGATCAGCTCGGCCAAGGAACTCCAAAGAAGGCGAGCAACCACTTCTTTTTTGGCGGACAAGATCAGCTCGGCCAAGGAACTCCAAAGAGGGGGAGCAAGGTCCGCTCCGCGACTTCCTTATTGGCGGACAAGATCAGCTCGGCCAAGGAACTCCAAAGAGGGGGAGCAAGGTCCGCTCCATGACTTCCTTCTTGGCGGACAAGATCAGCTCGACTGGACCCTCGGAGTTGAGCAAATCATCAACTCGCCAGCCGGAGTAAAGCATCTCGGCTGGAACCTCGCAGTTGAGCAAATCATCAACTCTTCAGTCGGAGTAAAACATCTCGACTGGAACCTCGCAGTTGAACAAATCATCAACTCTTCAGCCGGAGTAAATCATCTCGGCTGGAACCTCGCAGTTGAGCAAATCATCAACTCTTCAACCGGAGTAAAACATCTCGGCTGGAACCTCGCAGTTGAGCAAAT